TTTTTTTTTTTTTTTTCTTTTTTTCTAATTAAACTAATTAACTATTAAAAGACATTTGCACGAGTCAAAAAAGAATAATATTTTCATTAATAATTAGTTAATATGACAAAACTTACCAATAAAATACCACATTGTTTTTTTGGACATACACAATGAGAAATGGAGACATGAAAGGAAAAGACTGCCCATAAGGCTGTAACTGCTTTTCTCTGTAAAAGAGAAAACAAGACAATAACGAATCTTAAATGATGACGAATTGAAGATGAAGCAAACCAACAAAAAAATTATGCACCCCAAAAGTGTAGGGGAAAAAACAAAATAAATCAGCAAACAGAAAAATAGAGCTTTTTTTTCTAACTTATTGTTTGTCCGGAAATTTTAGTCATTGACTATGTCCTAATTATAAAGATATTATGTGTGTTTAGACATATTAATAAACAAAACAATAACATATATGGTAGAATAAGGCTATAATTCTGAATTAAACAGCTACAAAATTGAATTTAGAAGAATTATACACAGATTACAGATAGTCTAAATTCCAAACACATCACAAACTCCAAAATTAAAACAAATTAATCCAACTTGTTGATGATGTTAGAAATCAACAACACAAGATTACGACAAATGTAAAACGTAATTAAGATGAACAAGGCGAAAAAAATGCTTGCTTTTTTTTCTTTTAGTAGCCAGCCACGATATCTAGAGCTATACCCCGACTAATTTGTTGGTCGACTCGGGTCGCACACCTGGCAGTGGTGGGTGAGTATTAAGCTTGCATGTTTCTCTTGTGTTTTTTGTGTGTTTGGTATTTCTCTTGTGCGTTTCGCGTGTATTCTGTGCTTTAACCTTATGCATGTTATTACAATTAAATTAGGTAAAAAATCATCATGACTCCTTGATAATTCACTATATTATACGTGACGCACGTTTGATGGCTCAACTACATACAAAGTGGTTAATGGCAGCGCGACTTTGGGATTAGACATGTATCCGGTTAGTGGACAGCAACTCATCTTACATTGAATGGCGAAGTCGGCATGAAAGAAGCTTTGTATGTGATGAGATTGGCACAAATGAAACTTTTATGCAGCTTATGTCAAAATCGGGACTTCAACCATGCTGGTATCAATGTAATTCTAAGGATGTAAATTTCGGATTGACCAGCATTCAACCAATTAGAAATAATCTTCAGATGAGCGGCGCACGGTATAGAATGTATTCTACATAAGCATTGACACGAATCAATTAACCATTATTTCAAATCGACAGAAAATAAGCATAACATAACCAGTCGAGAATAAAACCACTCTACTACTATAGGATAACCAACATAAAATAAAACAAACACAATAAAATACAACTATACAAGCAATCACACATGGGAGAGAGAGAGAGAGAGGGAAAAAGAAGCTAATTTATTAATAGAATATTGTCATTTTGTCTCTCATAAAATATATTTTATTATGAGAGAATTAATATATGGAAAAAAAATGTGCAATTACCCCTAAATTTACTATGATGTGAAATAGGTACACATGCGCCATTTTACAAAATTGAAATCAAATGCCATAATTTTAAGGTGGACAACGAGCTATTCTTAAAGCTCGTGCACCTACTTGGCTAGGGTCGAGTAAGCTTCACATGACCCGAATGGCAAATCATAAAGCTCGTGCTCCAACTAAAACTAAGCATAAGTATCAAAACTTAAGAGCTATGCAAGCTTCTTGTGTCTCCTGTCAACGAACTCAAAAGTACTTTTTAATCACATATTCAGACAGACATACATTATAAGTCATCAAAAAATATTTTTATTGTTTTTTCACTAGATTTTTTTTTTTTTTCTAATTTTTTTTCATTGCTACATTTTAATCTTAATGTATATTCAATTATACTCTTTGATTTGTCATCCAACACTAGTTCAACTATGACTTAGTTCGAATTCTATGACATCTTTTGAATTAAACTAGTCCAATTATCGGTTAAGATCTTTAGAATATGGGATTCAGATTCATTTTTTATACAATATTTTTTCATTATACAAATTATTATCGACTCATGAACTGACTTATGCATCAGAATATCTACACTCGAGACCCACTCTCAATGTTGTTTTGCAGGTTGATCTAGTTCGTAATTCTACGAGATTCGACCGAAAATCTTGTAGGTTGGATCTTTCCACCACATCACTTTTAATATCACTTTCTTCTTTAGACATTTTTGTATATCTATGTGTAGAGAATACCACAATGAGGACAAAAAAAATACCCAATTGAACTCAAAATAAAGAAGCAATTCACAATTGTGAAAAAAACAAAAACATGTGAATAAGAAAGAGATTTGGGAGTATGGGCCTTTTAATAGATTCTTGAGCCCGCAAGGCCTCAACCCCACTGTTATTGAACCATGTGATAAAAGTAACTTTGCTCTTCATAAAAAGTGAACACGCCCTCTTTGCCCGCAATCATATGGTCTAATTTCTCATAATTCCCCTCATTCAGTTTTATTTTTTTATTAATATTATTATTTTGTATCTCTTTTTTATTTTAGCTCTATTTTGAAACTTATTATTTTACTTGATTTTTTGTCTCCCCTTCAACCGCCATTGTTCTTGGAAACTTAATTAAAAGATCTCATAAATCCAGGCTGTAACTCATATACAATCAATTATTTCGAAATATTAGTAATATCATTTCCTGGTCATGTTAGTAATGTCATTTTCGAATTAGAAGCAAAGACAACCAAATATATAAAAGTAATCATAAAATCAGGTATAAAAATGTTTTAATCATTTAATCATTTGATGCATTCATACTATAGAGTTAATTGTTGGCTCATCCATATACACTAATACGTAACCCGTGCGATGCACGGGATGTAAAATTTAGAAGAATAATATAACCTCACGTGCATTAGGATCGAAATTGAAATCATTAAAATACATAGGAACATTGTTGAATCATAAAAAGTTCGGTAACAATCATATATTATTAAAAACCTCCTTGTATACAACATTATGAGTTTGATTATTTGGTAACTCCTCATTATCACAAACTAATATTTTCAAAAGAGACAAATCCTAAAAATCAAACTAATATTTTTGGTGAACAAACTAATATTTTAGGATTGGTGAACAAACTAATATTTTAGGATTTCTAGGATTTGTCTCTTTTTGATGAACAAACTAATATTTTAGGATTGGTTATATGAATAAGGCTACCTGTTTTTGGTATTCTTTTCATTCATTTTCATTCAAACAATCCGATGACTTGTATAATGAAATCCGAATCTTAAGCCGAAATATTTAAAAAAAGAGTTTTTAAAAATTGAAAAGTCAAGGCAATCAGTTCAGATTAATTAAAGGTCAAAGAATATTCGCTCCTTGAAATAAAGACGTGTGTTATCATTAACCAAATATCCGGTTATTGATATAGAGTGGTTACCAAAAAATAGAACGCGATAAGGACGCTTCATAGAAATATCAATGGGATAAGGTCATAACAGATCGCTATACATTTTAACGATAAAAGCTCAGATGGAATGGTTTATGATAATTATGTCGTAATTAATAAATTAATTAGATGTGTGAAAATGACATAATTAATGAGAAGTGTGAAAAGGACATAATTAATGAGAAGTGTAAAAAATGACATAATTAATGAGAAGTGTGAAAAATGACATAATTAATTAGAAGTGTGAAAAGGACAAAAACTTACCAGTTTTGAAAAATATTTAATGCAAATCTGACATTGACCATAATTTGACCTACTATTTTGGATAAATATTAATTCTTATTATATAAGTATAGTTGTCAGTATATCGATTACAACACCATTTTGAGAAATTATATAATTATCAATTGTGTTTTCTGAAATGCATTGATCTTAAAAGAAAATATAAATCAATCAGCAAATAATTATTTGATAAATTATTAAATTTTAAAATATATTTATAATTTAAATTAGCATAGTATTTTACACGTTCAAAAGTTTTAACATGCATGAATAAAAGTCAATATATTAACACATAAAATTATGAACCCCAAAAAATAAACACATGTAGCTACAAAGTAGCAAACTGAAATGACATTAGAGTTATATATAGAGATTGATGTTAAAAAAGGCATAAGCAAATGTTATACCATTTTGAGACATTATATGATTATCAACCGAACTTTATTGGAATGCATTATTTTTTAAATAAATTGGAAAATACAACAAAAGAGGAAAAAAAATCTCTTGCCACATCTTCACACTATCTTGATTTTATCATCATCTACTACTAGGGGAAATGAAAACCAAGAAAATTGGTAAAAAGATAGGATAATTAATTAATAATTATTACTATACACACTCCTCTAATTTGACATTAGTAATGTTGGAAGTGGAGAAACCCCACCCGTGCGGACAACTCCTACCACGCCTCCATAATTATCCTCCAAAACAATCAATAAAATATTAAAATTAAAAAGCATGCATAGTCAATTTTCGTTTACACCTAGACAAAAAGTGCAGGGTTTAATTATTTTCATTTAATTAAATTAAAGGAGACGCGAAAAACAAACAACTAATTATTCGTCAAAAATCTCCCCGAAAAACGGGTTTATGGACTTCTCCAAAATAAAATCGCTATTCTCAATTGTACCAATTTTTTCAAACTCTTAGACCTCTTTTATTTGATAGGATGTGTTTGGATAACTCCTGTTATCCAATGTTTACTAAATATGATGAGATTGAATAATAAGTTGATGTGTCATGTGGGTTCCACACTTTTATACACGATTGATAAAATTATTTTGTTCGATCTTGAAGATGGGACATTTTAATCCCACCTTAAAAATCACAATTTTGTCCAAAATTTGGCATGTAAAATGTTCGGTTTATGCTTAGAAGTCCACCAAATTACAGATTTAGGTCATATAAATATATTTTGCTGTCACCTCATATTTTTCTTTTTATCTTGTCAATTTATCCAGATTAGTAAACGCTTGATTGTTTTTTCTTAAAATGCATGATGTTTTGTAAACATTGGACACAAGCTGACGTGTAAAGTTGATGGGATTAAAATGTCCAACTCCATCATTTTAAGTAAATGAAGCCTTAATCACTAGAATTTGTTTCCGAGTTAACACGTCGTCGATTCAATTGTCCAAATCGATTGTTGAATTGAAAGATTAATTTTAAAAATTCTAAAATAAATATATAAGTAACAAAAAGTAATAATTTAAATGTAAATTTTGAATCTAAATTATTAAATATATTATATCCCACAATAAATATATATGTAAATGTATTGACCAACCAAGTCAATAACAAGTCAAAATGACGGGTCGACTGGTCCAAATGGCCCACCCAAATTGGGTACAGTTTAACCCACTCGGTTGGTCCTCTTTAGAGGTGGCCAAAAACTGGTTTCAGATTGAAACCGCCGATTTCAATTCACATTTTATGTGAACATGAACTGACCTGGATATATATATATATGGGTTGGTTCACTAAACCGACTGTTCAAGGTTCAGAACTGACCCACCGGTTTCGAGCCAAGCCAGCATATTATAAAAAAATATAAAAAATTATTTATTAAATTCGCTACCACCAAATCAATTTATGAGAATACTTAAACGTGTACTAACCCAATAAAACCACGACTCCATTTATAGGCCGGCCCACGAACATGTCTACTTTAGCCAACAAAACAGTAAAAATTGTACCCTTTTCCCCTCGCACCTCCCTTCCTATATAAATACAAGATAATTCTATCCGTTAAGTGCATCTTGAACACATTCACACATTAACAGAAATTTCCCTTTTTTTTCCCAACTAGTTCACGTTTTAGCCAATAGTACTTTCACAGAACAATACTCAAAATACAGAGAATAGAGGTCTTTAACAATGGCGGCCACTGATAAAGCGGTGGAGACAGTTATGGTCGGAAATTACGTCGAAATGGAGAGCTCAAGCGGCAAACCAGCCGACGTAAAGTCAAAGGTTTCGAAGCTCTTTTGGCACGGCGGCTCGACTTACGATGCTTGGTTCAGCTGCGCTTCTAATCAAGTCAGTGAAAAATCCGATAACTGCACTGCAATATAAATAAAGAATTAATCCAANACTGCAGTATGAAGAATTAATCTGAAATCCACCATTTTTTTTGTTTTCTCTCGAACTGTAAAAAACTCGGTGACTGTACTATAGAATGATGAAATCCTCACTTTTTCTTTTTTTTTTTTGTTTTTAAAATAAAATGTTGAATTTGTGTCTTGTGATTTAATCAGGTGGCTCAGGTTCTGCTGACGTTGCCTTACTCGTTTTCTCAGCTGGGAATGATGTCAGGAATTCTTTTCCAGCTGTTTTACGGCGTAATGGGCAGCTGGACGGCGTACCTTATCAGCATTCTCTACGTTGAGTACAGAACCAGAAAAGAGAGGGAGAAATTTGATTTTAGAAATCATGTCATTCAGGTTCTTGTTCGATTTTTTTCTTCTTGTAATTGCAAATTGGTCCCTGAACACTTGAGCTGGAAAGAAAAAAAGAAAAAATGAGTAATTTTTAGTTATGCAGAGGTACACCAAACCTAGGAAAAAAGGACAACGAGTACCGTATTTAAAATTTATTTTTTTCTCTGACCAATGTTTGTTTTTTTAGTTTTATTTTATTTTTCATTTTTTTTAATTATGAAATTAGTGGTTTGAGGTGCTTGATGGGCTGCTTGGAAAGCACTGGAGGAACGTGGGTTTGGCTTTCAATTGCACTTTCCTTCTGTTTGGATCTGTAATTCAGCTCATTGCCTGTGCAAGGTATCTACCTAACNGTGAGCTGAATTAAGTTTTTAGTGTGTTTATTTGTTTATTCCTTGTAATTTTTTAATTGTTTGTTTGCTAGTCTGGAATTTGGGGTATGTTAGTGTAGATTTTGTTTTCCTTTTAGTTTATGTTTGTGTTGTAACTTGTAGTGTCAGGATTTAGCTATTCTTCTTCTATTTTTTTTTTATTAATATTATGTCATTTCGAAAAAAAATAATAATTATAAAAGTGTGTTCTTTTTTATGCAGCAATATTTATTACATAAATGACAACTTGGACAAAAGGACATGGACTTATATATTCGGAGCATGCTGTGCTACAACAGTGTTCATACCATCTTTCCATAATTACAGAATTTGGTCTTTTTTGGGTTTGATTATGACCACTTATACAGCTTGGTACCTCACTATTGCCTCCTTATTACATGGACAGGTAAACATTTCTATCATTATTCTAAAATCTACATTCTTAAATTAATTATATCTTTCTATTTCAATAATTCTGAAATTTTGACCTTTTTTTGTTATGTATATTGATTGTGGATCTGAGTTTTATTCGAGTTGAACCGAGTAACTAATGTTCAAGTTCGTACTCGATCGATAAATGAGTTGAATAAATCTAAAACCTTAAACCTATTGACTAATATGAAATGGTTGTTCACCCAACGAGTTCGACTGAATTGTTTCATATAAACTCATTCAAAAAATGATCTGTTTGCAAATAAACTCGATTGATTTGCCTCTCTGTTTGTTTAATAAATGAGTTTGATAAGCTGTCCGAACTCAAATTTTAAGTCTGTGAATGAATCAAACTCAGGTTTTCACAAGTCTATGGCTCGGTTTATTGAATTAATTTTTAAAAATGGACATTTTTAAATATATTGATTGTGGATCTCTGTTTCATTCGAGTTAAGCCGTAGTATAGCTCATGTTCAAGTTCGTGCTTGATTTATAAACAATCCGAATAAATCTGAAACCTTAAACAAGCTATTGACGAACATGATAATGGTTGTTCGCGAACAAGTTCGACTAAATTGTTTCATATAAAACTCGGTTTGGCTCTATGTGTGTTCAATATATGAGCTCGATTAGATGTTCGAACCCGAATTTAAGTCAATGGACGAATCAAACTCAATTAGTTTTCAAAAGTCTATAGCAGCTCGATTCGTTTAACGACTCTAAATTTACGAACATTATTAAATTAATCAGGTGGAGGGTGTTAAGCATTCGGGGCCAGCAAGGATGGTTTTGTATTTCACAGGGGCCACCAACATTCTCTACACATTTGGGGGACATGCAGTTACAGTGTAAGACATATATTATATCTTCAAATATTTATTTTATGTTATTATTTTAATTTATGTTGTTAATTTCTATATCTCATTTTATTTATTTATTTATTTTTTGTTTGGTCTTTGTCAAGCTGGATAAAAATGTTATTTGAAAAGGAGAAATTTTATTGATTTTATGAAAAGGACTCGACATAGGATAAAATCGACAATGACATGATCTGACCATGAGATATAAACAAGGACCAATCTATTTATTAATTCCTCTGTGTTTAGTTTAAGGGCCTGATGGGTCATGGGTAGTCCTTTTCTTGGATTTTATGCACTTTTTTATTTTATTTTTTATTTTTTTATTTTTTATTGTATGGCTTTGGTTTTTTTCCTCTCTTTTGCCTAAGTTTGTTTTATTTTTCATTTTTTTTTTGTCCTTTTAAAAGTACTGGAAATTAAAAGCAACAGATCTTTCGATAATTTGCTTTTCTCAGGTTTTGCTGTCCTTTGTCTACACTTTTTAATTTTTATGAGTAATAGTTGATTTGTATTGATGAAAACTTTAATTTTCAACTAAAATCTACACTAATTTAATATAATATGATCTTTTAAAACTATATATAAGTTGGACGCTGTTTGGCAAACAAGATTAATTACTTTATATCTTATTTAGTAAAATTGTTATATTCAAATAAGTTTCGTTAGTATGAAGTTTTCTTAAAAAGTTTAGAGTTATTCTCATATGCTAATCTAGGTAATTTTTTAAAAAAAGCTTATTAAAAAATTATTTTTCAACTAGTTTATATTATAATTTTATCAAATATTTTTGTTATATTAGTTATAAAGCGATTTTAGGCAGCCTACACAGCCTCACCTAATTTCTTGCAGAAAGCATAAATATTGAAATAAATTATTTCAGCATTAAAGCCCTATCAGTCTATCACTACTCTGTTGTTATTATTACCTGAGATATCTCTGCACCGATAATTAATTCTTGAAAAAATAAAGTCTTGAATTAAGGTAAAGTAAAAACTAACAATTATTACATTAAAAAAAAAGGATTAGCAATAAATAATTAATTGAAACACAAAATAATTAATTAAATTTGTGTGTTTTGTTTTGCAGAGAGATAATGCATGCTATGTGGAAACCCCAAAAGTTCAAATCCATATATTTGGTAGCCACACTCTATGTGTTGACTTTGACCTTACCTTCTGCATCGGCTGTCTATTGGGCATTTGGCGATTTACTCCTCAACCACTCCAATGCTTTTTCTCTCCTCCCCAAGTCTCCTTTCAGGGACATGGCCGTCATTTTGATGCTCATTCATCAGGCAATTTCTAAATAAAAAATTACATTTTCATCATAAATTCTTACTTGAGTCGGTCTAAACCGTTAGACGAATCGATCCATCATATTTTTTGTGTGTGTTATTAGAAAAGTTTGAGTAAAAATTACATTGTTTTCACAAATTCTTGTTTGAGCCGGTCTAAACCGTTAGACAGGTTGTCCAGTCATACTCTTTTTTTTTTTTTTTAACAAAAGTGCATTCTTAAAAAATGTCATATTTTTGTTTATGTTACTGAAAAAGTCTGATTGTTATATCTGTCTAACTAATACAATTATTGAATTTGTTGGTGTGTTTTTGTAATGTGGTGCAGTTCATAACGTTCGGATTCGCTTGCACGCCGTTGTATTTTGTGTGGGAGAAGGCGATTGGTATGCACGAGTGCCGGAGCATGTGCAAACGGGCCGCGGCCCGATTGCCGGTCGTGGTGCCCATATGGTTCCTAGCGATAATCTTCCCGTTTTTCGGGCCCATCAACTCGACAGTCGGCTCGCTCCTCGTCAGCTTCACCGTCTACATAATCCCGGCTCTAGCGTACATGTTCACCTTTCGATCGGCCACGGCACGCGAGGTAATTAACCACAAATTTTATCATAAATTTAGTTGTTAGCATGTTAATAGTTAAACAAATCTTTTTTTTTTTTCTTTTTTTTTTAACAACAAATGAATACTTATACGAGATAATGTCGTGCTTTTGTATATATTTTGTATTTTGAAGTATGAGATTTTAGTATGAAAGTACATATAATTATTGAACAATATGAATATCTAACAATTAGGCGCTCTAAAGAGAATAAGCACTACTTGTTAATATATCAAGAGTGTATAAATCAATTATGCTTTAGTGTAAACTTTAGTTTTAATCCAATGACCAACACTTTTATTGAGGTTTTGACCTAATTAATTGCTACCTTCTTTTATATATATTGTACTGTTCTTGCTTTATAGTACAAGCAGTATTTTATTTTTTATTTTTTATTTTTATTTTTACATAAATATGAAATAGTTGATTTAACAGCATGAAAAAGGACCTCTGCTGCCAATCAGAACAAATAGTACACTCTGTTTGAGTAATCCAAAAATATCCCCATCAAAAAATGCTCTAGTATGTTTGATTCTTAAGCAAAAATATATTCATTGTCATCTAAAATAATATAAACCTACACATATGGTTTAGGAGTTGTTGGTAATTTGTCAAAAGATACTCATTTTAATTTATTTTATTTGTGTAAGGTGGCAAAAATGTAGGCATGATTATGAATTGAAGCAATTTTTTTCCTTTTTCCTTTTTTTTTTTATTTATTTTTTAAATGCAGAATGCAGTGGAGCAACCACCAAAATACTTTGGAAGATGGGTTGGGGCTTATGTGATCAACATATTTGTAGTTGTTTGGGTTTTGATAGTTGGGTTTGGGTTTGGTGGATGGGCCAGCATGACCAATTTTATCCACCAAATCGACACATTTGGGCTTTTCACTAAATGCTACCAATGCCCACCTCAGCTGCCACCGCATGTGGCCAATGCCACCGGCCCACCGCCGCCTTTGGCCCACAATTTCACTCATTCGCCGCCGTATGTTCACGGCCATTGAGCTAGTGTCTTCACAATGTTCTATGAGAACGGAACTTTAGAAATCTAGATTTTATTTTAGCAATTTAGATAGAAGACTACTAAGTTCGTTCAAATCTTGATCCTTTAATTGAATTTTGTTGTTTTTATTGGCCATATATTTAGTTTATTCAATGCAAGCTTGTTCTTC